TGAATAGCTTTAGGAACTTGTGAGGCTGAGATGTAATACAGGGTTAAAACGGTGCTCAACTGTGAATAAGTGCTTTTCCAATAGCTGTTGGTGAAGTGTAAATCTGATACTTTTGCTGTGACTGTTTGGTAGTGAGATTTGCAGTTTGCATCAGCTATTGTGTATTTTAAAGGTAATTTTTAAAATACAGATCTATTTTCAAGAATTTACAATTTGTGTTAGACATTTGTTGGAAATTGTAACAGAATCTGGGATTGTAGCTTATAGCACATTCCTAAGAAAACAAATTAAGGAGCTAAGTGTCAGAAAAACTATTTGCAACTATCTTTTCTATTTTGGATTTGTGTCAGAAGCATATGGATGCTGGCATATACCTCCTTCCAGTGTTGCAAGTCCATGAATAGCCTGGTCTATACAAAAGTAAAATAAAAATTATCCATTGTTAATGGATAAGAGTTTTTCCATTTGTTTCATTCCAATGTAGTAATATTTATTATAGTAGGGGTATGAAAGTTACAGCAAGAAGTAATTCTCAGTATTTTATATACATGGAAGACTTGTTGTCCATGGGTGATCCTTTATGCTTCCCATCTTATTTTCCCTCCAGGATAGTGGTGTTTCTCAGTATCTTTCATGTACTCTTCTTTTCCTGATAAATAAATGGATGCTTACTTTTATTTCAGGATTTTTTGTTTAGATTTTCTGTGTTTAATATGAAACTTTACTGACGGTTTAATGAAATGAGCTAATGGAACTGTATTGAAGTAAAATGTATTTAGACATGAAAAAGTCCTGATATGGTATTCATGCATGGGGAATACCATCTTGTTATTTTCAGTGTATTTGCATGCTTCAGATGTCAGGGGAAAAGTCAGTTCAACCATGATCTGTATTTAAATAGGTTTGGCAGAAAACATGGTTAGAATATATAATTTTAGCTGAGCACTGATATTCTAAATAATACAATGAAAGTTATTTCTTAGTTAATTTTCAATAAAACCTGCTTTCTTAAACCAGATGTCAACATAAGGCTTCTATTTTTTACGATTTTATCAGTTTGTAGGATGCGATGGGAGCACTGATGATTGTTGTTTAATTCTGGGCACAGATTAGTGCAGATATGCAAAAACAGGGGAAAGGTGCATTTCTAGTTGTTTGCAGGAAAAGGGAAATTCTTCTGTCAAAGTAGTGTAGTAGGTTGGCATTTAAGAAAAAAGTGAGAAATATCCATGGAAGTGACTCCTCTGAGACGGGCTGCTGGGAGTTTCTTCTCTGCTTGAGATCAGGCCAATAGCTAGCCGATTTTGAGACTGACAGCATTTTGGACCACTGAAAAATAAGATCACCTTTGTGAATACCACCTTTTAAACCCAAACCTGGGAACTGCTTGTCTCTTTGCTTCCAGCCTTGAAAAGTATCAGAGCTGTAGTGTGGCTGGCCTGTTCCACTGCCTACCTGGCCTTTGCAGCCTGGGTGGGGGGAGGAGGCCAGGCCGGACTCCAGCAGCTCCTGGGCAGGGGATGGAGACTGAAGGGATTTCCCTGACCCTGGGCTGGGCTCTGCCATGACCCCCGGCTCTGGGACCTAATGAGACCTGCAGACTTAATCCCCTCTCCAGAGAGAAGAAAGCAGGAGCGATCAACATGTAAAGAGACAACATCAAGTATCAAAGTCAATAAGAAAAGAGTCAAGCCTCAGATGGAAAAATGAAGAGATGCTTTAATAAGCTGAAATATTGTTTTAGTAGAGCCATAGGGATGGACAATAATGTTCAGAAAAACTCATTTAACTCATAAAAACGTATTGGGGAAAATGAACTATTCAAACTGTAAATCAGAGCAAAAGTATCCCTTGAATGAAGCTAAGCAGATGGTGAAGTAGCTGTGATCCCATGTGATGCTTGAACACAGAGAGAAGTGAGAGTTGATGAAGACCCTTTGCCCCAGGGAGAAAAGGAGAAAACCTCTGTTCCCAAAGATGATCATAGAAGAAAATGAAAAGAACCTTTGCCTTTGAATAAACTCATCCTTAAAAGAATGACCCTTGAGTTCATGGCCCATGAGCACAACTCAAGAGTGGTGTGAAAATGGGAAGAAAGCATGTTGGCAGAATTTTTTCCAGGTGGCTGCCAGGCATGTGTAGTGGTTTAGATTTGCCAATTTCGTTTCCCGACCAACGCACCAAATAAATGTCGTGGTTCTAAAGCAGTAACTAAAAAATCACTAGAAAACTTACTTATTTCTTGCTGTGAGACATGGATTAGAACAAGAGCAAAACAGGCTTAAAACTTAAAAGGAATAAAGGAAGTTTATTAACAAAAACTATAAGAACAAGAAAACCAGAATAAAACCTCCAGAAAACCCTTTTATCCCCCACTACCCAACCATTCTCTTGTTCACATGACAACATAGAGACAAAAAACTTTGGTGTTTAAAGCAGTCCTAATTCTTGCTAGAGTCTTTTCATCAGTCTTCGTAGAGAAACAGAAGTCTTTTTTCTGCTAATCTATGGAGTTTTTCCCAAGAAAACTATTTTTTCTTCATAACTTCCTACTTCTCTGATGCCATATTCAAAGGCAAAAGTTCTCTTCATCTGTCTCTGTGAGCCTCTCTGGAAACAGAAGTTTTCTCTTTGCCTCTACAATGGCCCTAAATCTTCAACTATTACTTCTCCCCCTTTTGTTCCAGCATCTCACTGTATCACAATTACTCCACTTTTTGCTCAAAATCCAGACTTTGAACACTCCATTCCTCCCAATATACTCTGTCATGAATTAAAGGAATTTTTTTTTCAGAACACTATTGTCCATCTCCATAGCTTTAACAGAAAAATATTTCAGCTTATTAAAGCATCTCCTTATTCTCTTTTCCCCATCTAAAAGTTAATTCATTTCTTCATTGTCTTTTATGGTTTTATGATGTCTTCTTTATGTTGATTATCCCTCTCTCTCTCTTCCCCTCTCTCTGGGAAAGAGGAGTAATCTGTAAGTCTCATACAAGCAGTAAAAGAGTTAAAGTCTTGGAAAGCTGCAGATGTTGATGGTGTCAGGTTTCAGTTCAGCAGCAGAAACTACAAACCGAGTCAGGCCGGCCGGCTCCCTTTCTCCCCCCACCCTTCCCCTGCCCTCTGTGGCCTTGTCTGGCCTGGAGGGGAGGGGGAAGAAGCCAAGATGGAGTTCTTTTACCTCGTCAGAGGCTGGAAACCAAAGAGAACAAGAGAGCCCTGGCTTTACATCTTAAGTTGGTGTTCACAAGTTGATCTCACTTCTCAATGGTTAAAACCGCCGTGAATTCTCAAAAATGACCAATAATTGGTCAGAAGAAAAAACTCCCATCAGCCTCCAGCAGCTTCAACTTCCCTAGCTCCCAAAGCGATCTTAAAGGCAAAGTCACCCCAGGACAGCATGGAAACGAAAAGCCACAAGGAGACTGTTTTTCTTGTAGAAAACTCTCTCTACAAAGACTGCTGAAAAGGCTATTGTATAGTTAGTACTGCTTTAACATCCCAGGTTTTGTCTCTACAGTGTCAGCTGGGAAAAGAAAAAAAGTTAGGTGGAGGTAGGAAAAGTTTCTGGAAGTTTTATTCTTCTTTCTTATTCTTGTAGTTTTACTAATAAACTTTATTCCTTTTAAGTTTTAAACCTGTTTTGCCCTTCTCCTAATCCATATCTCAGAGCAAAAGATAAATAAGTACCGTGCTGATTCTAGCTAGAGCTAAAACCCACCCCATTATTTGGTGCATTGACTGGGAAACACAAATTGGCAAATCTAAACTACTACAAGTAGGGAAGTTGTTTGTAAATCTGAGTGTTACTTACTGAAACTAAGGGAAAAAATATCTGTCTACATTAGTGACATTTGTGCTAGCTTATCCTGTTAAATGGAGCAAAATGGCTTTTATTTGTCTTCACTATCTGAACAGGCAAAAAAAGTCAAAAGTAGATACCTGCAATCCTTGAAAATTTTTAATGGATTTTTTGGAAATGTCATTTGTGTTCTCAGACTTTAGTCTCTGTATTTTAAGATTTATATGCAGTTTGATGGAGTATTGGTTTTCGCCTTTTTGGTTTTCAGTAGGAGCTCTTGGTGCTGTTTAGTCTCATTTTATTGTTTGGTGAGAACTGAGTAAACTAAATTTATTGTTGTGATGTTAATGTTTTGGAGGTAGTGGTGATGTGGAATTTTCATACCCTTACCCTGCTAATTTATTTTCACCTGTATTTGCTTCATTTTAAATGTCATGGCGTGAGTTTTACCATGCTGGATGTTCTCCAAATAAGGGCAGTGGTGTTGCCCTACAAATATTACAGCTGTCTTGCAGCTCAGGACTGTATAAATAGAAAGACATGAATGGCTGTGAATTTTTCTGCCCAGATTTGCTTATTTTCAAATGTAAAGCAGTACAGAATCTGTTATGTCTCTGTTTTCTTGGATCTCACTTGGAACAGCAGATTATTTGAGCCTGTAGCAAAGATAATTTGTTCTTTAGCTACTCAGTTGTTAAAAAGCTGTTATCTAAGCCACACTGAAACCTACTATATATAAATCTTCTCACAAAGTCTTCCAACTAAACAGTTTTTCTGTATCTTAGTTCTTCGTTTATCCTTGTTTTTCTTCAGTTGGTCAGTATTAGCAATCCTTAAGCAAAATAGAGGAATGCAATATCTGAATTTTGAGCAATTTAGTCTGCAGTATAAAAATCTACCTAAGTGTCTTGGTTTGAAAAGACAGGTGTCTGCTAAGGAAGGTAGAAATGTCCCTTGAAAGGGAAATAATGTGAACTACCCCCCTCACACTCACAAATTATTATAATCTTGAAATCAAGGGGCTCTCAGGCAAAGATATGGGAATAGGAATAACATTTATTTACTAGGAAAATTAAAATAAAACTGCAGTAGTACAAAAAAGAAAACCAACAAAAAAACAACCCATTGAGACAGTCAGAATACAACCTGACACCTTTTTAGCCAGGGTGTTGGTAGCAGTCCAGTTAAATGATGGCTGCAGTTCTGGAGTGACGGATGTGGCTCTGTTCAAGTAATGATCCCCTAGAAGGGAATAGTTTTCCTCTGAAAGTCCAGTGGTGATGTAGATGGGTCCGGTCTCCCGCCTCTGGGAATTCAGTGGAGAAAAGCTGCTTTGGTGTTCTGAGTCTCCAGAGATAAACATGTTTAAATGCTTGGCTCCTCCCCCTCAGTGGTGCATCTCACAATGGGATGATGTAATTTCATCAGTCATGTAATGAGACTCAGTGGCCCATTAACAGAAGATATCCCTCTGGGGGGAGGATGAGTTGTGGAAGAGATAAAGAAAACTGCCCCACCTAGTTTCAATAGATAGTAACAGAATACATACTTTTGGTTACATCTTGCATTGCAACTCAAGACACTAAAAGTGGTGTAATATATTACTGTCAAAAGGCAATAACACCTGATGGTTTTTGTCTGACACTTATTGGGGTTAAGTAGTTTCTGAGTTGGTTTTAAAGAAATAAGTTAGTTGCTATTATAAGTCAGAGATTTTTTTGTGTCTTTTCCCATAAGTGAGATGTATTATTGCACACTTGGAGTACCCTATGATTAAATTTGTGAAAGAAAACTTAAGATTACTAGGTTTATAGAGAATATGTATTTACTTTGCTAAAAGAGTAGTCAACTGTAATTCTTAATAAAATGTGTTATTCTTCCAGCAGACCCCTGGAAGTCTGAAGGATGGAGGTAGAGGAGAGCCAAGCGCAGTCCCTGAATGAGATGCCACAGCCCAGCTGTGCTAGCGGTGCCAGCTGGCAGCTCACCGACACCACCCGGCTGCAGCACTTCCTCTGCTTTGGGTCCGAGGGCAGCACTTATCATGTCAAGGAGCAGAAGCTGGGCTTTGAAAATGCAGAAGCTTTGCTAAGGCTGATTGAAGAGGGCAGAGGCTGCGAAGTTGTTGAAGAAATAAAAGCATTTAGTCAAGAGGGCAGAGCAGCAAAACAGGAGCCCCTGCTCTTTGCCCTTGCAGTTTGCTCACAGTGTTCTGATGCTAAAACAAAACAAGCAGCATTTAAAGCTGTCCCTGAGGTGTGTTGCATACCAACCCATCTCTTTACTTTCATCCAGTTTAAAAAAGATCTGAAGGAGGGCATGAAATGTGGCATGTGGGGCCGTGCTTTGAGGAAAGCTGTTGCAGATTGGTACAATGGAAAAAATGGCATGGCTCTTGCTTTAGCAGTTACAAAAAATAAGCAAAGAAGTGGTTGGTCTCATAAAGATCTTCTGAGATTGTCCCACCTAAAACCTGCCAGTGAAGGTAATAAATTTTTATTTACCTGAAAATACTGTGTATTAACACCTTTATGATTACTATGAAAGTATTTTGGAAACCCAAGTGCCACTGTAGATGAATTCTTAGTGAGGATATCCTGTAAATTGCATCTTAAAAATGTGGATGTTCATATCAAAACCACACATGTTTATCTTCAAGGTAAGCAGGGTTTGTTCCTTCTTCCATATGCCAACAGAAGATAAAATAATAGAACTCTCTAATTTTCTTCCTGCTTGCTTACAAATGATGAAATAACACTTTTTTGTTATGTGGAAAGATCTGTTGATTTAAAATCTTAGAATGGTTTGGGTTGGGAGGGACCATGATGATCCAGTTCCAACCCCTCTGCCATGGGCAGAGACACCTTCCACTAGCCCAGGCTGCTCAGAGCTCCATCCAGCCTGGCCTTGAACATGTCCAGGGATGGGGCATCCGCAGCGTCTCTGGGCAATGTAGCAAATACATAAAGCTCCTTACTTATAAGGAGATTAATATAGTAATTAAAAGTGACGCTCTAAATTGTGTGTGGCTGACCTTTTCAATAGGTGTGTGGCACATTTAAGAATAAAACCTGCTAATTCATTTGCATGATAGAATGATAAATGCCAGTATACAGATGGTAATCCTGCTTGAGAAATGGTTTTCTTTTTCATCAGGAATTGCAATAGTCACTAAGTATATTACCAAGGGGTGGAAAGATGTCGAAGAAGCTTATAAACAGAAAGCAGTTTCTGCTGAGACTGAAAAACTCTTGAAGTATCTGGAAGCTGTGGAGAAAGTAAAACACACAAAAGATGAATTGGAAATTATTCATTTGATAGAGGAATATGGTCTAGTTAGAGAGCATCTCCTAACAAACCATCTGAAATCTAAAGAGGTACGTAAACTTCCTTAGTTGAATTCTCCATAAAAATATGAATTCTCCATAGAGTAATGCTATTCAGACTCTTAAGTCTAGATTTCTTTAAAACATAGTCCTTACACTGTTTTTCAAATTGTTTACCCAAATAGTTAATTTAAAATGATTAAGATCTCAATATAATTTGTATATTAATTTTAAAGTACACTTATTCAATGTACAGATGCCAGTTCTTGTACTTTGAAAATCTCATCTTTCTGCGTTTCCCTTCTCTTTCATCATAGGTCTGGAAGGCATTACTCAAGGAGATGCCTATATCTGTATTATTGAGAAATTTAGGAAAGCTGGCAGCAAATTCAGTGCTTGAACCACGAGGTTCAGAAGTGGCAATAGTAATGCCCCACCTGCATTCTGAAACATTCTGATAAAATAGGTGTATTGACAGGTATTGGATCTTTTCTTAAATGAGGTCTGTGTCAAACTTTGTGAATTGAGTTCATCAATTTCTTCTGAGTCTTAATTTTTAAGTGAGTCAAGAAGATAGCATAGCAGCTGAGGGAAAAAACAAGGTGGTCAAGGAGACTTTCCTCTTTTTTGATTGTTTTATTGTCCATCAAGGTGGTAGGACAGTAAGAAGGAAAAGAGGGTTCCCCAAAGAGAGAATAAAATTTTGAGGGATTTAGTCATAGGTAGACAGGACAAGTGTCTTGAGCAGCAGTTTTGTGAGCTGGGAAGATTAAAATCAGGACACTTAAATTCTTCAGCACCAGAGCTGAATTGAGCACAACAACGAAAGTCCTTTTTTCCCTGTCGTACTGCAGTTGCTTTTCTCTGGTTTCTTCCTTAATCATACACAGGTACTGGAGAGGGGAGAGCAAAGATCATGGTGCAATGACTTGATGAAAGATAGACAATGGACAGGCACTCAGATTTACTGAGTTTTGATGCTGGCAGTGATTAAGGACTGAAACACCTTTTTCAGATAAAGATAAAAAAACGTTGATAACGTTATATAAATTAAGTTTATATATGGACAGCAAAAAAAAAAATTGTTTGAAGTGTTCTATAGCATGAGAAAAATGAATGCTCTGTTCCAAAATAATTTCTTGTCCAGTGTTACTTTATCTTGTATAAAGCTAGTTTTAAGTTGGTTCTTTTCCTTGCTCTTCAGCTGGGCAGGGACTTTCTCTTACTGTAAGCCTGTGATGGAAAATAGCAGTAGACAATCATAGAGCTGCAAAATTTTACCAGTATTCTGGTGATGGCATCCCATTTGGTGTTAGAGGATTCTTGAGAGGGAGTGAGGTCTCCATTAGCAGTAACCCACAAGTATCCGTGTATCCAACACCTCTATAAAAACTTAATGAACTCTTTAGATTTAACAAATTTAAAGCAACCATATACAAAATCTGAGATTTTTTTGTAGTAGGAACTTATTTTCACATTTAGTTTGTTACTTTTTTTTAAGGAGATTAAATTTGCATACCCTTATTTTTGATTTCTGTCTGTAGGGTAGAATACATCCCTTCCATATTTTGGTTGCATTAGAAACCTATAAAGCTGGACATGGACACAGAGGGAAGCTTTGGTGGCGTCCTGATGAAGACATTTTAGAAGCCTTAGATGCCTCATTTTACAAAGCTTTCAAGGTAATAATATGTAGTGGTTTAGGTTTGCCAATTTGAGTTTTCTGGGCAATGCACCAAAAAATGTAGTGGGTTTTAGTGCTGGCTAAAATCACCAGGGCACTTTCTCGTTTCTTGCTGTGAGATATGGATTAGGAGAAGGGCAAAACAGGCTTAAAACTTAAAAGGAATAATGAAACTTTATTAACAGGACTACAAGAATAAGAAATATCAGAATACAACCTGCAGAATACCTTTCCTCCCCCTAACCAATTCTTTCCTTTCCCAACTCACCACATAGAGACAAAACCTGGGATGGTAAAGCAGTACCAACTATACTTTAGTATATACTTTAGTATAGTCTTTCATCAGTTCTTGTAGGGAGAGGAATTTTCTCTGGTCATGCCATGGAGACTTCTCCACAAGAAACAGTTTTCTCGTGGCTTTTCATTTCCACGAATAGCAGCCACCCAAGCAAAAATCCTGCATCATGACATCCCTCCCACTTCACAGTCTTCCTAGAGGTGTGTCCATGGGCCATGAACTCAAGGGGTAATATTTTAAGGATGAGTTACTCAAAGGCAAAGGTTCTCTTCATCTGTCTCTGTGATCATCTCTGGGAACAGAGGTTTTCTTCTCTCCCTGGGGGCAAAGGGTCTTCATCAGCTCTCATCTCTCTGTCTGCTCAAGTGTCTCATAGGGTCACAGCTACTCCAACATCTGCTTGGCTTCATCAGTGGATGCCTCTGCTCAGCTCTGTAGCTTGAATACTTTATCTCCCCATACTCTCATGAATTAAAGGGGATATTTCTGTATATCATTGTCCATATACATGGCCCTACCAAAAGAACATTTGAACCCCATTTGGCACCTCCTCATCCCTCTTCCATCTGAGGCTTGACTCCTTCTTTTACTGACCTTGATGTTTCGTGTTGTCTTTCTACGTGCCATTATTCCCTTTCCTCTCCCTGGAGAGAGGATTGAGGTTTGCAGGTCTCAGCTGTGTAGTGAAATGATTAAATCTCGTCCAGTGCCACAGCAGTCATGGATTTCAGGCTGCACTGGGTGCCTCCCTCGGCCTGGCAGCCACTGCAGGGTGGGGAGAGGAGGGGGGGCCTTGGCCTGGAGTTGTTGGCGCAGGCTGGAGGCTGGAGCTGGGGGAGTGGGGTGGGAGCGGGGTTTGTGTCGGTGAAATGTCAGCAGCTTTGGCCCAGCCTCAGGCTGGGGCCTGCAGCCTCTGCCCCCTGCCTGGGAGCTGCTGGGGTCCAGTCTGGCCCTTGCACAGGCCGTGGGGGAGCAGGGCTGGCCTCAGCACAGCTCCACTCCCTTCTGGGTCTGGAAGCAGAGGGCCAGCTCCCAGGCTTGTGGTTTTTAAAATTTGGATCATCACAAAGGTGGATCTAAATTTCTAATTTCTAAATGGTGCAAAATATTGTCAGTTCTAAGAGCTAGCCAGCTACTGGCTTGTCTCAGGCACAGAGGAAGCTCCCAGCAGCTTCTCTCAAAGAAATCACTTCCGTGGGTGGTTCTTACTTCTTTCCCTAAATGTCAATTAATGTCAAACTACCACATGATAGTTCTCTGATTTGTTAAGCTTTTTAAGAGTTCTGTGTTTTGTGAAATCTTATCAAGAACTGGTCTTGGGGTAGGTAACAATTCTGAAACTTTGGCAACAGAAGAAGAAATTTAATATATAAATTATGTGTACCTGTTATATTTTCATCTTTTATTCTTTCAGACATTGGAACCAACAGGAAAACGCTTTGTAATTGCAGTTGATGTCAGTGCATCAATGACACAAAAGGTCTTGGGCAGCGTGCTCAATGCCAGCACAGTTGCAGCAGTAATGTGTATGGTGAGGCTTTCAGTGTATTTTATTTATAACTGTTTTCAGCTTGCATTACTTTTTTGATGCAAAGGTGCTCTAAAGCCTGGTTAGAAATCAAGAGGAATCTTACATATAATATTTTTTGGGTACAGAAAGTGTGACCTTGTGCCTCATTGCTGAAAGCTACTAGCAACCATATTCAGAAACATCAGTTTGAAGAAGTTGGTTTCTGTTGTAAATCAAAGTCATCAGGTCAGCTTTTTCACTTATCTTAGCCATAATAAAATGACTTACTATAAGAAAAAAAAATATAGCTTTATCTTACACATTTTAATTTTTTCAGAAGCATTCATAGAAAAGTACAGATTAGATTAAGAAATGTTGGGATAATTCTTAGATGTCTATTTAGTTACCAATGTGGACTTTTTCTGCAATCACTTTCCCCTCAGTTTAATATTTTAAAGCTTCTTGTGCTGTATTCTTTTATTGCAGAGGAGTTGAACTTTTGTTGGCCCTTAAAAATAGTCAAGGTTTTATGTCAGAAGGGAGAGAAGAAAAATGGAAGTATCTTTAGTTACAGTAATTAGAGCAGTTGTTCAGCTTTTTTTGCGGTGTTTATTTGCAGTAATATTACAGAATATTTGAAGTGTAGAGTGAACCATTACTGTTTATGAGGAACCATGGTGACTTAAGTACAAAAGCATATATCATGCTGTGTGTTAGTAGGGAATGGCTCAGTTGAGACATGAAACTTCAGAGTAGTGTAACTGAATTATTTTTGTCTCCCTCTTTCACAGGTTGTAGCACGGACTGAGAAGGATTCCCAAATTGTTGCCTTTTCACACGAAATTGTCCCTTGTCCAGTGACAGCTGACATGACCTTGCCTCAAGTTTTAGTGAAAATGTATGAAGTATGTAAAAAAAAAAAAAAAAAAAAAAGTCTCAGCAGTTACACTGTATCTTCATTGTAAAAAACTGTTTTTCTTTGTTTAATCTGTATCTCTCTAGTGCAAGATTGGATTTTTTTGTTGCATTTTATTTAGGGAAGGCCCAGAAAATGTTGTTATTTTATTTGCTGGATATTAGACACTGCAATTTAGAATGGTAGTGCTAGGTCACAATGAGTTGGCTTGAAAAGAATATTAAAAAAAAATTCAAACAAAAAAACCCTGGACAAACTTAGATAAAATGACCAAGTTTAACAAAAAAGCCTTTTTGCGTAGTAACACATGATAAAACATGAAGCTTGCATCAAAAGTAATTTTTCCATGGTTTTTTAATTTCTGTATTAATGTGTTCCCTGTATATTTATTTTTTTCTCTATAAGATTCCAGTGGGTACCACTGATTGTTCCCTTCCAATGATATGGGCTCAAAAAACTCAGACACCTGCTGATGTCTTCATTGTATTTACTGATAATGAGACCTTTGCTGGGAGTACTCCTCCTGCAATGGCCCTTACAGAGTACAGAGAGGTAAATATGCTTCTGACTGTTTATGGTTAATAAGTACTGTACAAAGTACCAGCTCTTTTGGAGGTTGGACTGATTGTGGCTTTCTTCACTAAATCCTTACATATTGTTAAAAACTTATAAATACTGCAGTTAGGCAGAATTAGTGCACATATTTGCACTGATTCTACATATTTAAAACCACAGAATTGCTAAAAGAAATTGTAATTGCCTGTCCTGCACAGTGTGCTGCAATGTCCATGAAATTTTGTTAGTCAGGGACTGTATGAATTTCTACATCCTGTATATAATTGATTGAATAAGTTTTTATAGTTGTTACAGAATGGAGTTTGACTCTCAGAGAAAAATTCAACTTTGATGTCTGCAGTAGATGTCAAAAAGTTTCAATGAAGTAATGAAGACAAGTGTCTAGAGGATGAGGTGGCAGTATCTTGTGAAGAAAGCACATTGTGTTTTAAAGGGACTGCTCTAAGTTGTATAGCTTCATAATTTTACAGTAGATCAAAGAAAAATACCTTCTCCAAACACATTGCTGTTGGAAACCCTTATTTATTCAGCAAACAATCCTTTATGCTTTAAAGAAACTATTTTTAAACTCCCAAAAATAAGTTTGTCAGGCATGAGTGATGAACTTTATTATCATTACATAGTTTCCACCCAGTTGAAATGAGTACCAAAAATCTTTAATTTGGTTTCCTTTGTTGAGGTTAACTGCCATTCCAGTATTGACAGGCATCCTGCAGTTCCCATTCTGGCATTCCTCGCTTCTGTCAGCACAGCTCTTAAGACAGTGGCTTACACAAGCGAGATTTGGCCCTCTGGCATATTTAAGTTACTGCATATATGAACCTGTTTTACTCTATATGTGTTTTCTGATATTTTTTCTCTCCTTCTAGAAAATGGGTATTCCTGCTAAGCTGGTTGTTTGTGGAATGACCTCCCGTGGTTTTACGATTGCGGGCACGGATGACAGAGGCATGTTGGATATCTGTGGCTTCGATACAGGAGCTTTGGATGTCATTCGAAACTTCACTTTGGATTTGATTTAAGTTTTTCAGGCATCTGCTCTTCCCAGTGGGTCCATTGCTGGCAACAGACTTCACTCTGGGAACTCCCAGCCAAATATACTTTATTAGCTTATGGCATATTGTATACATATCAGAATGTTACAGGAGGTGGTGGCACTTCAAGTATTTCTGACTAGAGCTTCTCACTAAGGTGTTTGTAAGGTTGAACAGAACTTCAGTCTCATGCAAATCTAACATTCAGAGAAACCCAGCACTTGTATGTCTGGTCTCAAACTGTCAGTAGTAGCCAGTGATCCCCTGCCACTGAGGGTGGCAGCCACATGTCACCACTGTCATCCTGGGACCTGGCACCATACAGCAACACAGTGCACATTTGGATACTCATGGTAATGGCTGGCAGTGCAGTCACATCACCCTTCAGAGTCTTGCAGCACAGCTCGCAGCCCTGCTCCGTGCCCCTTCAGAATGGCATCTCCACTCCTCAGCCACCTTGTATCCAGCACACTCATTTTCCCAAGGCAGCTGGTTTCTTCCTATACACACACTCAAAACTCCAATTGGACTTAATTCCCTGACCAGCCTGTGCTCTATGTGAGGTGGAATGCCGAAGAGTGTCATCTCTTGTGTGATATCCACAGTAACTGTGCTCTGAGTCTATGGGCCAGCAACAGCCAGTCTGGATCTGTCCCAGGGGGTAAGCAGGACCCTCTGTTATGATGGGATGATGGCAGGACCACAGTGTACTTAACAAGCTCTTGGTCCCTGAGCTTCACCGAAGTCTTCCTGGCTAGGAACACATGAATTATCCCATCCCTGTTGTCCTCAAGCTCCACAGCACCCACTGCCTTGGCGAGAAGGGAGGCTTTGCCTGGGCCCAAGGAAGACACCATCACAGCAAACACTTTGTGTCAGCATGCTGGAACCTGCTCTTGCTCTTCACCAGTGCTGGAATTAGCCCAGACCCCAGCTTGGCCACATCCGGTTCCTCAAAGTAAGTGAAGAGGGCCACATTATTGTCCAGCTCCTCACAGACTTTGGAGTTCTTGTGCTACAGGTACCCCTGCTGCAGCAGCAGGCCCAGCACCTGCTGAGGACATACTGCCTTCATCAGCCACAGGAGCAGGGGGTTGTACTACAGGATGTCCAGCTCCTTGTCCCCCAGGACTTCAGCAGCAGCAGTGATCAGCAGTGCCAGAAAGCAGGTGGGTCACCTCCAGGGCCCTGAGCACCACCTCGGAGTCAAAGAGGGTGTAGGGCAAGCTGAGGAGCCCCAGAGGCCAGACTTTGGCCTTTTAGGATTCATTCAAGCCTGAATGAAAAGGGGTCCAGGAAGGCTGGACGTTCTTGAAGGATGTTAGATTATGCAGAAAGGTTAGAAAAGTGATACCTGAGCTAGAAATTAATTTGGCCACTGCTGTAATAGATAACAAAAAGTGTTATCTGTATTTTACAAATACATCAGCTACAAAAGGAGGGCCTAGGGGAGGATCTCCATCCTTTAAAGCACATGAGGGAAAGCATTGCCACAAAGGGTGAGAAAAATGCAGATGTACAAAGAAGGCATTCTTTGCCTCAGTCTTTAATAGTCAGACCAGTCCTTGGGAAGACAGAGACAGGAACAAAATGAAGTCCATGTAATTCAGGAGGGAACAGTGACCTACTGCTCCACTTAGATGTTCAAAAGTCCGTGAGGTTGGATGGAATCCACCCAAGCCACTCTCCACAATTTATCATCAATCCTGGCTAACCAGGGAGGTCTCAAGATGACTGGAGATTGGCCACTGTGGCACCCATTGAGCAGAAGGGCCAGAATCAGGATCCAGAAAACCACGGGCCTGTCAGCCTGACCTTGATACCGGGGAAGGTTATGGAACAGATCATCTTGATCACACAAGCATATGCAGGACAGCGAGGGATCAGACCCAGCCAGCATGGCTTTATGAAAGGCAGGTTCTGCCTGATCAACCTGATCTTCTATGAATGGTGACCTCCCTAGTGGATGAGGTAAAGGCTGTGGTCTGCCTGGACTTCAGCAAGGCCTTGGACACTGTTTCTCACAGCATTCTCCTGGAGAAGCTAGGAGCCTATGGCTTGGACAGGTGCACTGTTTGCTGGGTGAAAAACTGGCTGGATGGCTGGTTCCAGAGAGTGGTGGTGACTGAGTAACATCCTGCTGCTGGCTGGTCACCAGTGGTGTTCTCCGGGGCTCACTGTTGGGGCCAGTCCTGCTGAGTACCTTTATGGCTGATCTGGACAACGGGATCAAGGGCACCCTCAGTCAGTTAGCAGATGACACCAGGTTGAGCCAAAGAGTTGATCTGCTGGATGGCAAGAAGGCTCTGCAGAGGGATCTGAACAGACTGGATCCATGGGGCAAATTGTGTGGGGTTCAACAAAGCCAAGTGCTGGGTCCTGCCTTTGGGTCACAACAAACCCATGTAATGCTTCAGGCTGAGGCAGACTGGCTGGAAAGCTGCCCAGTGGAAAAGTACCTGGGGATGCTGGTCAGAGTGGGTGAATAAGAGCTAGCTATGCCCAGGTGGGCAAGAAGGCCAAAGGGCATCCTGGCTTGGATCAGAAGGAGTGTCAACAGGACTAGGGAAGAGATTGTTCCTCTGTACTTGGCACTGCTGAGCCTTACCCTCAAATCCTGTTTGCAGCCAAGCATTGGAACAGGCTGCCCGGGGAAGTGGCAGAATCATCATCACTGGAAGTGCTCCAAAACCATGTGGATCTCGTGGGACATGGCTCAGTGGTGGACCTGGCATTGTTGGGTAGATGATTGGACTCGATCTTAAGAGCTCTTTTCCAACCCTCATGATTTTGTGATTCGTTACCTTTTTGTAAAGGGAAAACAAGAAAAGCAGATGAGGAATCTCTTGTACATTTTCTGTTGCACACAATTTAAAATAACAGTGAGAAGTTTGCTAAAAGTGGTTACAGGGTTACATAGTATATAACTTAATTTCATTTATAGTAGGTCATAAATACGGAGATATTTTTAATTTCCCCCATTGCTGTGGAATGCTTATTTGCAAGAATAAATTCATTAATTACTTTTAGCATGGGGCTGGAAACAAATGGGCTTAGAATTTTTAATAATGCAAATTTAAGAGCAACTTCATTGAGAGGGACTTTTCTTTGGGCTTTTTTAAATCTTTGTATTTTATTTGTTACTAATGTTCAATGGTTTCCATGATTACAGTTAAAATCTACAAATGAAGTTTTTTTCTGGTATGTATTGAGACCATGTGACTGTGATACAGTGTAAAAGTCACCCAGGGACATTTTATACTGATATAACTGAAAGTGCAAGACTTTATGCTAACCTTTTTCTCTCTGGATTATCATCTGGGTTTTCAGGAGGAAATAGCTCTAGCTAAATTGAGGGGCAGTTTCTGCACAGTACCATTTCAGAAGCACTAGTTTAAAATTAAAACACTTTCCAGGAAATTCTAAAAACTGTTTTTAGTAGAAAAGGACCTTGGAAATGACTAGGATGTCACATTCAGTCCTTGTCACGACTTCAAGAAGCATTAGCACACCTTCAGTGAGCAAGATCAACAAGTGCATGTTTGTCTTGGCCTGCTCACCAAAGCTGAGTGGGAATACCAGAAACAAAAAGTTACATTTTTTTTCCAAAAGTATGTATACAATGACGCAGAAACAAATCTTCCTAACAGGAGAGTATTTAATTTTTTTAAATCTTTTCGTAGATTAGTGTTACTTCTGTTTTCATAAATTAATTCAATATAACATATTTCAAAACTACCTCCAGTTTATAGTGACCAATTCTTAAAAACTTTAATGAACTGTACAGTTGTCTCCTTCATATTCACAAAATCTTGTTTAGGAAGTGATTGAAACTGGATTCTTTATTTTTAATTTTTTATTTTTAGTCTGATAGTAAGAGTGTGACAAGAAGACAGTGAATATTCTACTACTTTGGAACAGAAATTGATAGCAATTTGTGTGTATATGTATTTAATTGTGTGTTTTCTATATGTGTGTATGGGGGGAAGTTAAAAGATCTCTTTAGTAGATCAGTCTTAAAAGATTTAAAAGGTTTTTAGTGATGCTTTTAGGATTTCCTCTAAAACATATGTATTTCAGCCTCTTTTATGCTGACTGTTTTAAACAGTGAATTTGATGGTAATTTGAAAATAATTATGATTTATAAAAATATCATGTTTACCCATAATGGTAAATTACATGTAAGACCATATTTTTCTGCATAAAACCCAGGCTTTTAAATGTAAAATTGAAGTTCCTACTATACTTTTGGTACGTGTAACACTTTTCATTATGCCTCATTCCTATTGATTATAAATTCAAAGCTTGCATTCTGTAGCCAGGATATCTCTTTTGGTGCTAAAATAGGATGTTACATGTTAATGAGGGTATTCTGCTACTTACTCTCTCCCTTAATGCATAATCAATCCAGTGAGGGAAGCCTTTCCTGATATAAAATAGGGCTTAAAGAACTGCTGGGTAGAGTGTTGCCTTTCAGCCAACATGCGTGTAAGTCACTACTGAATTATCACTACTCTCACAAAACAGCTCTGACAGAATGCTTGGAGAACATAGGACTGCTACCAGCTCCTCAGGTGAGTTCTAGAACAAACCAAGTGCTCCTGCAAAAGCTAAGACATAGCACTTTTGGGTTTGTAAAAAGAAAATCAGCCATTTCTCACGAAAAATTGTGTATAATTTTTAGCGTCTAATCAAAACACCATGAATATGGGGAGTAAACTAATTTGCTCAATACATGTTAATAATTATTTCAAGTAAAGGCACTGATGTTTTGGGGTTGGGTTTGGTAGTAATGCATTTTAAATGATGCAGAAGTCAAACATCTGATTAGGTGTTCTAAGCTAATGTCAAAAATAACTGATTGATGAGTATCTTTTGCAAGTACTTTTTCTTATTTGGAGTAGTATTTGTGAAGTAATAGGAAATATTTTGGACTAAATATAAAATGAAAACTTAAAACCGGTGTTTCAAGTAACTTTCAAGTAAATTTATTGCATATAAAAATTAAGAATAGTTACTAACAGATTGAGTGTATGGTTACAGTGGTGTTGCATCTTTGGAAGCACTCCAGAATGCAATTCCTTTAAATTGAGTGTGGAATTAAGGATGAACTTTTCAGTAGGACTGATAGAAATTGTAGGTCCCTGTATCTGTTGGCACTGGGATAGCTGTGACCAATGCTTAAGAGTTAGTCATCCCTGCTGGGGTACAGAATATGCTCCTAAACATTTATGGCATTTCTGGACTAAAAACCTTGTCAGTGGTTTATGTGATGTAAAACCAGCACTTACAAGGCCACGTTGCCATCTGCTCCTCTTACACAGAGAGGGGAAACTGAAGTTGATGCTGACAGCTGTAATGTTAAAATATGTGGACCTTTGTTTCTGGGGGTCTGTTTTTGGTTTTGTTATTCTCTTTTAGTAAGGGGCATTGAAGAATGATGCTGCATATTCCTTCTCCATAGACTGGATCTTTTTTATCCGCCCATACACTGAATTTTAGGAGACAGCATGACTCATTTGCCATAACATGCATTTGTCCTCTTTCTAGTCCTTAGTTACTAAACTGGTAATTTCCAAAATCACATCTAGACTTGTAAAGAGGCAATAATAACTGTAATGCTTCAAAAATAATTTAAAAAGCGAGCTAAGACAAAATTGCTAAGCTTAAGCTTTACCCCTTAACAATTCTGGAGCATTAGACTATGGTGTTGAAGACTGTAATGTTCAGGCACTTTGTCTTTAAAGAAGAAGAAAAGCATGTTGTGCCTGGAAGCACAGCAGAAATGAAACATTCTTCTGTAAGGAATGAACATCAGAGGTCAGGTTTTTTCATGGAAGGGACACAGTCAACGATGTGGAGAGGGCAGGAGACTCAAGTTTTTTAAAATAATGCAGTGAGCACATCATCACTGTGTAATAAATTCAATAATGACATTATTAATTTTGCCAAGAAATAGAATTTCATGTCTGGAATTTTAGACCTGGATCAAGGACTAGGAGATTTTAGGAGTTTGTAGTGTTAGATTGCAGTCCTCTGTGTTTCAAAAAAGAAGTCTAAGGGTAGGTGTAGTTCTGAGGTCATCAGGGCCAGTCTAAATGCCCACTGTGTGAGGGCTGCTAATAACTGGCACTAAAATACCTTCCTGCTTTAACACCACTCTTAAACCTGTTCATAAGTCTTAAGGGGGTTTATGTTGTTCTTTTACATTGCTGTTGTTAACTGGTGCCCATAAATGGGTATGGCTTTAAAAGGCTGTTCAACAGTTCTTGGCTTAAAAACACACCAGCAGTTTGGGAAATGTGTTTTAATAATGTTGCTGTAGTGTAAAAACACTATTAAACTATTTGTCTGCATTTCAAATACTGCTTAACCCTGTCCCAATCTCACAGGCACCATAACAGAAGCTTTAGTTTTGGTTCCATTTGTTTCTTCTTCTTTTGCTGTACCCTTTTCTCTGTTAGTGTTGGGGTTTTTTCTCCTTTTCCATCTTGTCACCTCAGGCCTATACTTGAATCTTTTTTCACAAGCTCTCATCCATTCCTTTTTTAGTTTTTGCCTCTGTTCTTATGTCTTCTTGCTATCTTGCTTGTCTTGCTGTCACTGAGTATAGTTCCCTGCACCAGAACTGATGGCACAGTATTTACCATTTTAAGTGATTAATATTTTTTTCTGTTCTTTAATTATATAAATCTCTTACAAAACATCTGATTTGCTGTATCTGACAGATTTTTGTCAAAACTCTGTGTAAAAATCAGTGACAAAAGTATACTTTATTACAAAAAATCCAACATCTGCCTGTGAATGGCTTTATATGAAAACAGTAGCCTCTTAAAATTCACTTTTCAAATTGGCTTTCCAAATGTAAAGTTTTTTTCTAGAATTAGTTCAGTGATTTCAAAATTTTCATTCTTTTAAACAGTATCAAGCTGCTGTCATGCAGAATTAGGAAAACATTTAAATTAATATTCTGGACAAACAGGCAGCTTCTCTGCAGTATTGACAAGATAAAGTCTTCAAAGAATAGACTATAGAAGTAAACCTAAGTAAAGAATCATTTGTCTTCTGGTTTTAATCCTTTCCTTCAGTTTCTGTGAAATCCCACCATTTTCTAGGTTTATTTCGCTGTCTGCAGTGGTTTGGAGTGCTTAGATATGCTGTAAGCAGCTGTTCTAATGACTTTCTTGCTGGAATGGCAGAGATTTCATCTTACCATGACACAATGGAGTGTACAAATGGCTGAGCTAGAGTTCTGGGGAAAAGGTAAAACACTGACCAGGACACTGTTTTATGGATATGCTGCTCTGAGGGAAATCATAAAAGATTAGCTAATTTCAGCAGAAGGTATGGTGTCTTTAAATATGTGTGCTTGCATATCTGGATTTATGATTTTGATACTGTAAATCATGGCTTCTTTAGGTATTTCTATATTCTGAATTTAAGTTTAAATATATATATATATATATGTGCATATATATATATATATGGTATGATGAGAACTTTAACAAATACTTCATTAACAAATAGTGAATATGAATTGTTGTTTACCTAATGTTACCAACTTGAGACTTAAGCACAACTAGTTACAAATAAAATGTCTTTTCATTTTCCTGTAAAAGTGTAGTTCTACTTTTAAAAATAATTCTGTATTTAAAAAGCAACACATGGGCACATTCACAGCTCTGTGTGCTTCATTAAATAACTCAGTGTTTGTTTTCAGCTTCTGCTTCTTAGAAGCGTGGGATTTAAGATGGATGAGCAGGTATCCAGATTTTCTAGTGGATATATTTTAATATTTAGATCCCAGGACAAGCATATTTTAAGATAAACAGCTTTTTCCTGGAGACAATGCTGGGGGGAAGAAAAAAGGAAATTTTTAATTACTATTCTTGAGGTTCTTCATTTTGGTTGATTTTTTTTTTTTTTCCCCTAAAGTAGTACCACACTTTAACTGCCATATCATGTTTAATTAACTTAAGCATAACATGGCTTTGTACCATCCAGTAACAAAGGCACTGTCTTGCTGCTACTTTCTGTGAAATTGTACACAGTGATGGGGAGCCTTAATGTGGTTAAAAAGAAATAAAATTAACCCTTTGGGTGCCTTAAGCTAGACACTATTTAATGATGGGGCACTCGCATCTGCAGGCATACTGCTTGTTTCAACAGCTGCAAGAGAATTTGCCTTAAGTGACAATGCCCTGGGATGTCCAGAACTTGGAACTCAGAGGGTTATTTCAGACTACTGGCTAAATAAACAAGCCTCTAAACAGGGAACAAAATGAAAAGGTGTTTGAAAAATTCCTTTGCATACTACTGTTACTATTTTTACATGATGGGTTTATCAGCTTTGGGGACAAAATTATTGTTAAGCTTCTGGTAAAAACATCACTGGCTGAAGAATTCTACACAGAGAAAAAGGATACTTGCTATTCTTATATGACTGTATGTGCAAAATAAATTGCTTTATTAAGTGTAAATTCAGAGAGAGATGCACATTTGTATGTTTACCTTGATGACTGTGTCTTAGCACCATACAGTAACCTGCAATACTTAAAATGAAACAAGGTCAGTGCGTTGAATTAGCTGATTACATATTAAAGATGTACCATGCAGACAACTGCATACTAAAGACTTTCTACAAATGATGCAGTTTACATTTAGTTCAAACCTGCATCACAAAAACAAAGCTGTCGAGTTTAAATTATACTCTTTTTGTCCTAGTTAGCTGAAATTAAAGATTGATGTTTTTTTCCCTTGAGGGGGAAAAAGTAGTTTAGGTACATGGAATACTGAAAGCAATGGAAATAATAGGAGTCTTAATTCACAAAAAGTGAGTAAAAAATTGACTAATGTTTTTATTCCAATATGTGAACCTTTAGTTGTGTAATGGTCCCTTTAACTGAAGGATGGAATATAATTTTCTACTTGCATATGAATTTCTTTAAAATAACCAAGAGTCTTGGCATTACCTGGTCTGGCTTTGGATGTACACTGTACAGAAAATATGGAATTTTAGTAATTTCTTTTAGACATATAACTGAAAGTTAAAATGGCTAGTAAACTGCATTCTGACTGTAGAATTTAAGTACTAAATAAACTCTATGCATATTAGACCCACTTCATTTGGTCTTATGTTTCATGCTATTGCTGGCTTGGTTGTACTGTAGTCTGCAGTGGCAGTTGAGTGCCTGTTCCCCCTGGAAGGACAATCCTGAATGACAATACAGACTGATACCTCACAGTGCAGAGTAAAGATGAAAGCTATCACTCTCTAAAGCTGCCAGAATCTTTATTCCCTTTTCTGTTCCACTGGACACATGATTTGGGAGCTGGGTTATCAGGCACTGGAATACAAGCAAGGCAGATGTGCACACAGCAATATGACTACAAACTGGGTTTGCTATACACTTTAATTTGACAAAGAATTATATTTAAAGAAACCATTAAATGAAACTGACAGTTTATTAAGACAAAACTAGAAAATAAACTAATGTGCAGCAAAACCCACAGAATTCTTTTTGCAGAGCCTGGACTTCCCTGGAGCAGGTTGTAATAAAGAAATGACATTACTGGCTCACTAAGAGCCCCAAGAGTTACATAATGTTTGCTAATGACCATCTGGGTTGTGGGAAAGCTAAGGCAAAGACACCAAGTAACTTTCCAAGTCCATAAAATCTGTCAGAGTGATCCATAATTCAGAAAGCCATGGTTTGAGGGTGTTGAGTGCAGTTCCTGCCATTTGTCTGTGATCTTCTGAACTCATCTGAAATTGTTCATACAAAGGAAGACGAAGCTAAGAGATGGTTCTCAGTAATTTGCTTTCATTTGACACTGATTAATTAAAGGAAGCAGTCTGCCTTCCTCGTGAAGCTTTTGAGTATCTGTTGCACCTCCAACACAAGTCCCATTGATAAACACTCTTGGGACCTATCAAGAAAACAAAAGTTGCATTAGTTACTTACTGGAAAAAGGTAAACATTAAAGAAAGCCCATGTGGGCTCCAGTACATACAATTATTGTATTCTTCTAGATGTATGTATAATGTTAGTGTACAACCTATACTTTTCTGTAATATTTACAGAGAAGGAAACTTCGTGTGCCACTCAAAAGTGGGATGAAGTCACTGTGTGGATGATTGTAATAAATTCCAATAATTGAGTAAATTGAGACTATATAAAATAAAATACAAGTGTTAAACATAATTGTTTAAATATACAAATGAAAACGACTTTGATACTTCAATTATTTCAGTGGCATTATGTAAAAGATAATTCTGAGGAATAGCCAGAGAGGTTCTAGAACAAGAGATAGAAGCCTCCTGCAGTATTTAATTTAGAAGCTTGTATCCTAAATTTAACTGTCTCAAAACAACTAAGGACTTGCTGTGGATATAACCCAAGAGTGATGTGTGTAGCCCAAGCTGTTCTTACATATAATATACTTACTGTTCTGCCGCCAGTCATCTGTTCCAGAGCGTCTTGGAACTGCCTTCCGTTTGTATTTATGTCCAATTCAACAGCTGTGTAATTGACATTCAAACCCTCAAACAGTTTTTTTGCCATTTTGCAGTATGGGCATGTTGTTTTAGAAAAAATCACCACACAGTTGTGTGAAATAATGTCCTGCATGCTCAAAAGAAAAAGTGAGTGAGCTTCAAGCCAGTGCACTTTGAACACTATTGGACAGTATCTTGGGTTGCAATGCAAGATGTAACAAAATTAATTACTCTATTACTATCTGTTAAAACCAGGTGGGGTACTAGTTTTTATCTCTTCCAGACCCATCCTTCATAACTTCAGGGGGATATCTTCTGTTAATGGGCCACTGAGTATCATTAGATGACTGATAAATTTACATCATCCCATTGTGAGATGCTCCACCCAGTGGGAGGAGCCAAAGATTCCTACCTGGACATACTTTGAGAATTGGAGCTGCAGTCAGCTGTTCTCCTCTGGGTTCCCAGAGGAAGACTGGACCCATCTACACCACCACTGTACCTACAGAGGAAAAACTACACCCTTCCACAGGATCATTGCTTCAACAGAACCACATCTGTCACTCAGGAGGACTGCAGCCAGCATTTAATGGGACTGCTACCAGCACCCAGACCAACAGGGTGTCAGACCGTATTCTGACTCTGTCAGTATTTGGGTTTTTTTGTTTGTTTTGTGGGGGGTTTTTTGTTGTATTTTGGGGGCTTTTTTGGTTGTTTGGTTTTTTTTGGGCGGGTGCGGGGTTGGGGTTTTTTTGGTACTACTGCATTTAAATTTAATTTTCCTAGTAAAGAACTCTTATTCCTATTTCCATATCTTTACCTGAGAGCCCCTTGATATGAAGATTACAATAATTTGG